AAATGTGATCTATGCCCCATTGGGCCGGTCTCAAAAAGGTTGGCAGCAGAACCAAAGATGTTGAAAAGGCGACTTATGTTATCCAGGCACATTAACTTTCGTACCTCCTGCTTCAAAGCCTGTGGATTGTGAATCTCCCGCAGCTGTGAAGGTAATTTGTTCCAGATATTTACATAAGCGACAAGGAAGCAACGTGAACGTAGTTTCTTTCTCGCTGGCAGCGGGGCAACTGTGCAGTGCTTGTTTCGGAGGTTGAATTCCGATCGTCTTCTCAGTGTCAGGCTGGGGATATCACAGTGCACCGCTTGGTATATTAACTTATGTAAGAAGCACAGGTTTAAGATAATGCGCCATAGAGGTTGGAGTTTGAGCTGGTTACACCACTGTAGGTAACTAAGCGCTAGGCCTTGTGGGGCTACTATTTTGGTGAACCGCCGCTGAGCCTTTTCGAGCAATATGCGGTCTGATATCCGCAAATTACTGAAGATGAAGGGGCAGTATTCCAGCTGCGGACGAAAATGACTGCGGTAAAGCTCCAACCGTGCTTCAGCCGAGTTAATGTGACGGAATATGTGGAAGACCATTCTGCGTGCTTTTGCTACCTGATACTGCACATTCTCTGAAAAGTCGAGGGTCATAGAATAGCGAATACCTAGGTCAGTAGCTAACGTTTTTAGTTGGATAGGCGTACCATTCAACGTAAACGCACCATCCGATATGGAGCATTTGTGGGTCAGAATACTAGATTTATCCGCAGAGAATGTCATTTGTCAATTTTGACACCACGACTCTAAGTTCTTCAGGTCTTCATGGATCTCGGGTAGTGCGGATACTTATAAAAAAATAAATACATAATTAAACTTTTATTCTCGACAAGGCGAGGCACACCTGTACAGGCATGATCATGCTTAGCTAACAGAGTGTGATCAAAAATGTACAAAAATTACATGTTGGCACAACAGTGTATGTAATTGTATGAGTGTATATACGTATGTAATTTTGTATGAATGTAGCTTGTGTCTTTGAATATGCCGCAGCATTTTAGACTGTCTGTTATCCTCAGGAATGTCTGCATAAGCGATTGATGCCTGCGAGTTGGATAGCACTTTACTTATATCCAGCGTGTATGGGTGTATATACGTATATAATTTTGTATGAATGTAGCTTGTGTCTTTGAATATGCCGGAGCATTTTTGACTGTTTGTTATCCTCCGGAATGTGAGCAAAAGCGATTGATCTCTGTGGGTTGGATAGCACTTCCGGATATCTACGGGCCAGTGACTTTATTTTGTGGCGAGTCACATCCGCCAGGTCGCAGTGTTGTTAACCCGACATTTGTGGCTTTTTATAGGGAGAACGCTTGCCAGGCGAAAACCCACCACGTCCTGGAACACTACCGCCGAACTATTTGCTGGAACCGGTTAAACCCGAGCCACCAAGCTGGCACCACGAGGAGGTTGTTCGGCTAGCCAGCCTTGGTGGGAAGCGCTTGGTGGGAAGACCTATACGACCTTTATATCGCCGACAAAGAGGAATGGGCGACCATGGCGCAGGCTGCTACAGATGTCGTTCACATAAATCAAAAACAGGATTGGTCCAAGCACGCTGCCTTGCACAACCCCGCTGGAAACTTTGACAGGGAGTGACTCAAACTGTGCTACCTTCACGGACTGCGTACGCCCGGTTAGGTAGGATTTACGCCAGTCAAGCAGAGGGGTGACTACACCGTAAGCCTTGAGCTTATGTAATAGGCGTTTATGGGGGACCCTATCGAACGCCTTTTGCATATCGAGGTATAGCGTAATATTCGTCAGACCTGAATCAATCGCGCCAGTGACCAGGTTGAGAAAATCAAGCTGGCAGGTTGCGCAGGATCGTGCGCTTAGAAAACCATGCTGTGACTTGCTAACGTGGCCTCCTGCATTCACGCAGGCCCTAAGCGCACGCTTAACCGATTTCTCCATCACACGTGGGAGAATAGATGTGTGTTTATGGGTCGGTAGTTGCTGACTTCCTGTACGGAGCCACCTTTATGGCGCGGTGTGATGACAGAGTGTTTCCAAGCCAATGGGTATTGGCCCTTCTCCATAGAGAGTGTGAAGAGTTTCAAGAGGAGTATGGAAAGTTCATCGCCCCCATTTTTAAGTAGTATGCGTTTAATTCCATCAGGACCAAGTTTGGTGGATGGTTTTACGGTTTTGATAGCGGAACGGATGCCTTTTAGATCGAACTGAACCGTGGAGAGCAGCTGGTTTGTGGACACATCCAGCTCAGTAGTGACCGGGGACAGTTCTTCACACTGGGACTCTTTGAAGTAAGAGTTGAACATGGTGACATTGTGAGAGAAAAATAACTGAAATGTTTGCAGTAGTTTGCTAATTATTTGATGACGACCTGTAAGCCGTTATTTCCCATGCTAAAATGGCGAATCTTTTCGCTATCAAATACTGCGTAAAAAATGGAATACGGATTGGTGTTATCTCTTCATTATATGGAGGCGTACCTAAAATGGTGCAAGATGGCTGAAGCTTACCAGTACTAATTGGGTGCGACGTGGTTGGAAGTAAATGGCATTTTCTAAGCGTGCCCGATAGTACATAGTAACGTGTGAAGATAAATTGCTCTAAAACGCTAAGAAAACAAAAATAAAGTTACTGATACTCCAGTCTTTTGACGTGGCTTAATTCGTCCTAGGTCATAAGCTTTATCTTGAGGATTATCCTGAGGATTATCTGGAGGATTTTCGGAGCTACTGTGCGTTACAAAGCGCCGTAAACCTAGCAACGATAGCTTTTAATGACACTTGGTGATGGATAGTATAGCTGAGGAATTACAGTGGATAGGCCTATATGAATTATTCAGGGCAGCTCGTGCTTCAGTCAGCTTATATCAGTTTAAAGATGCTGCTTGTTTTCGACCTAGATAAGGCGAGCTTTATGCATCGGTGCAACTTTAATATAACGACAGACCTAGGGCTATCGCAAGTGACACACATCGGAGGTTTGAATACCTGAGTAGGCAAATGAGTATAAAAAACAGGTGATTTACTACGAAGCGTACAATTCACCGCAGCTTGTTGGTCTGGTGCAATCACGACTATGCTTAGGAGAGCTAGCCTTTCCAAAACCGGAGGATTATTGTACCTTTCTTGTTAGGGCACAATGCTGGGGCTCATCGCTCTTGTTAACTAGGCTTGACGCAACCGTTATCTATGTAGGCCAAACCGATGGTACGTGTTGTGGCATTGGCAAGTGATCAGCTAGCACACTACAGTTTTATCTGGCCGGAGCTGTTCCAGTAAGTCAGAAAAAGTGAATGAGTAAAAGTATAAGCCAAGAGTGTTAATGTAGAAGCAACAAGTAAGCGTTGGCTGTCCACCCACAATGATTTCTAGAACATGGGGCCCTGGGAGCCGGGTAGACGATTAATTTCGCATAGTTGGCCAAGGTAAGGTATGGTGGTAATAAAAACGGACCAGCAGCTAGCCAAGGAGACGGGTTACTATGGTGCGTGTCAATCCTTCCTGTAAGTCTGATGGAATGCAAACTAGTAGAAACGGCTACGGGAAAGGATCTAGTTCTTTATTCCGTTTGGCAACCAGTGTTTTCAATATTGATCGGTAATTTTCAGCAGAGGTAATTGCTGGGGGAATATCAAGCCAGGTGCCGAAAGAATGGGCTGCGTGATGCTTGCGTCTGAAGGTTATGGCTCTGAAAGCCTCTGTTTAGCGGACCCGATGGACTACATTTCTCTGGAGTAACCGTTATAGTTAAAAAATAACGGCGGTTCCAAAGACGGTAGTCAGAAATAGTGAATAGCATCTATGTGATATAACTGTCGGATGGCGACACTACATACTCATCTAAGTGCGTTCAGTACGGAGGCTCCTTATCAAAATGGCGGCTCAGTTTCAATGGGTGCTTATGTTGGATCGGTTTATGCTTTCACTAATAAGTGCCTCAGGTGTTCGAGGTCTAAACCGTAGTCTAGAGACTGTGGAAGAACCCTAGTAGTCATATCTAGTCACTTCTAAATATCACCCGCATCGAACTATTAAGAAGCAGTAATGGAGACAAGGTGGTAGCTAAGCGGGGATAAAGTTATTGTGCAAGCTATACACTCAGAATTGACTTGCAGCACATGTAGATGTATTAAAGTAGGAGAAAGCGATGAGAGCCGGATGAGAATCAGAGCGTTACGTTTAAGCATGTGCTCGCCCATTTTGTAAGGCGGTGGACACTACGACCTTGCTAGAAAAGCCAAATGCCTTGCTTAAGTGGCAGTTATTTAAATCGGAGTGTACGCCTTGGTTTTACTTCTGCTATGTGCCATGGTCATCGACGATGAAACATAGCAGTCCCTATTACGACTATTGTTAGCAGACGCCGAGCTGGACACGGCAATTAATGGTAGGGAGTTGAGCTTTGCTTTTAGTGCGTGGGTCACATGGCTGAGCGGGTTTGGACAGATGCCGTGGCTCTTATTCGCCACAGCTAGTTTGACACGTGTCACAAATGCGAAGCACACATGGAGAGCTTTTGAATAGCTTCATACAACTTAGCCACCCTATTGCAAAGGGGAAATGTGAACCCAGACACTGCAGGTCTTGCATTGCAGGACCTACACGCATGTGGTGACAGCTTTGTGGCAATCCAAGAACTTCGAGGCCATTATTTCTTTTGGACTTAAGAAACCTTTGCCGAAATGCGAACTATGTCCTTATGTTTATTACAGACGATTTTATCGAGATCTAATACCAAGAAGCTGGACCGTATGGCAGGACAGAAAATCGAGTTCCATGTCAGGGTCAGACCAAGGTATGGCAAGGAGTAAGGCGGTTTTGGTTTCATGTCTGTATACGTTTTAAGTCCTTCGTCAGCTTCTGATTCAGCTGCCTACTGAAGAAGGAACACTCACAGGATTACATCTACCCATTTAATTCAACGCGCCTTGACCTTCATATTGACCTTCACATGGACCTTGAAAAGTACCAGCTGTGAATGCACGTGCTGTCTACTTCTCAGCTCCGACATCCGAGCCAAAGCAGGTCCGTGCATTCCTGTGGAGCGATCCGTAAAGTAAGATCATTTTTGTTCGTTTGAAAGGACGTTGTTTACTTTCTATATACCACAATATGCCGTTCACAAGCATCACCGCCGCTTATTCTGTCCATCAATTCCGATCCAGCTAGATCCCTTTGGCAGCTGTGACAACATCCTGTTGACCTTCACTGAGACCTGGCTCACTTCAGACATCTCTGACTCTGTGATCCACATCTCAGGATACCAACTTTTCCGTACTGACCGATCTGCAGCTAGAGTTGGTGGTGGCGTAGTTCTCTACTGGAGAGAGGATCTTAAAGCTCATCTCGTAGAAACCGTCAGCGACGCTGTTGGTGGCGCAGAGCTACTCTGGGGTAGGATCAACGATGGCTTCAAATCCCTTATGGTTGGCGTCATCTACAAAGCCCCGTGGGGACATGGTACTTCTGTACTAGACTTTATCAACTCGCATGGAAACCGCAGAGATTGTCTTATCGTGGGCGACTTCAATGTCCCGCATGTCAATTGGGATCTACTACACTGCCACCTTTCACCCGAGTCATTTGACACCAGCCTCCTTGAAACTGTCCTCAAAACGAATCTCACCCAGCATATAACATCGCCCACCAGGCTTCTTCCCAGCCAGACTCCGCACATTCTTGATCTTGTGCTCACTCCGTCCCTGGCAGATGTCTCAGAATTGACCCTTCTACCACCCATAGGCAAAAGCGACCATTGTACAATCTCCTTCCTATGGACTAAACGTCTAGCTATCCGAACCCGGAGCGCACACCGTCGCAACTTCTGGCGAACCGACGCATTCAAGCTAAGGGTGGCAGCAGGTACATTGGACTGGAATGTTCCACAACACTTAGATCTCGATGCTGCTTGGAACGATTTATTCCGCAAATTGAAGCTTCTCATCGAGGAGGCCGTCCCATTCAAGAGGAACAGGCCTCTTTCTAAGGGTCCCCCCTGGATCGACCGAGAACTCAGGGCCAACATGAAACAACGACGAAAACTATGGGACAGATTCAAGCTTTCCCGCCTAGACTCAGACTACTCTAAATACAAAGCCATCAGGAACTTCTGCTCCCTGCAGAAACGTGGAAAGAGACAACGATACGAACATAGCCTGGCCGAACAATCTCTCTCTAGGCCAAAGATACTATTTTCATACCTTAATAGATCCTCCAAGACGGGCTGTGGAATTCCTGCATTGTCTACTAATGAGCCAGATATGATACACTATGATGATGACGCCAAAGCTGACCTCTTGGCTCTACAGTTCTCCTCAGTATATACGAAGGGAGACAGACTCGCAAACCCTCATGTAGTTGCACATACAGTACCTCTGGAACATATCGATATCGATGCAGGTGCTACCTTGAAGCTACTACTAGAACTGAACTCCTCTTCCTCACCAGGCCCAGACGGGTTACATCCACATTTTCTCAAGATGGTTGCAGAATTCATTGCCGTCCCACTTTGTCAAATCTTTCAGCTCTCTCTTAAAGCTGGTCGACTACCTGTCGATTGGAAGACGGGTGTAGTTATGCCGAAATACAAAGGTGGAAACCGCCAGGACCCTGCGAACTATCGGCCAATTTGCTTGACGTCGGTCGCCTGCAAGATCATGGAAAAGCTCATTAAATTTGCTCTCCACCGACACTGCGAAGATCTGAACTTCACATCAGTCACTCAGCATGGCTTCCGGAAGGGGCACTCCTGCATCACTAACCTGTGTGTCGCTAGAGAGAAGTGGGCTAAATCAGTGGACGCTGGAAAACGTTTAGATGTGGTCTTCATCGACTTTAGCAAAGCTTTTGACAGACTCCCACATCAGGAACTACTCTCTAAGCTCGGCGGAATTGGCGTGACAGGGAACCTCCTACTATGGATCAGTGACTTCTTGCAAGGCCGGAACATGCAAGTCAAAGTAAACGATACCCTCTCATTCCCCGTGCCTATGTATAGTGGCGTACCACAAGGCTCCGTTCTCGGACCGGAATTGTTCAAGATATATATCAATGATCTACCAAGTATGCTACAAACGGACTGTCTGATCTATGCAGACGATCTCAAGCTATGGTCGGAAGTGTCCAGCCTCGAAGACGCCGACCAATTACAGGAAACGCTTGATCTACTACACTCTTGGTCTATCAAGTGGGGTTTGCCGGTCAACAAAGATAAATGCTCAGTCCTTTCTATAGGTGCTGCTGAACCACTGGGCATCTATCACATTGGCGGGCACCTACTCAAGATTGCCACACAGGAAAAGGACCTGGGGACAATAATCTCTGATCTCAAAACGACGCTTGACACGTTAAAGAAAACTGCTGCGGCGAACAGAATGTGGGGCGCCATAAGGAGATCATTCTCTAAAATGACGCCGCAGATATTTAGACTTCTTTTCACCTCCCATATCCGTCCCATTCTTGAATTCGGACATCCGGCCATAGCCCCTTTATCTAAACATGAAAGTGACAAGATAGAAAAAATTCAGCGACGAGCCTCGAAATTTGTCCTTGGGCTACGCAACCTCCCGTACCCCACCCGCCTACAGAGGATGAACCTTTTTCCCTTAGACTATCGCCGACGTCGCGGAGACCTCATCTATACCAGGCGCATCCTACGAGGAGAACTGGGAAACGAGCTAAGGCAGTTCTTTCAGCTAAGACTTGGCAGCTCGACTCGAGGTCACAGCTGGAAGCTTTTTAAACCGAGGAGGCTCAAAGTCCGCTCAGATGTTGCTCTCTCTACTCGAGTGATTAATGATTGGAACCGACTGCCGGACCCGATTGTCAATGCGCAATCAGAAGCGAGTTTCAAACGTTTGCTAGACATCTTCCTACTGAGTACTCCAGGATCCTGCAGGGCTGATATTACATCCTGAGCCATGACAGCCAACTCGCCTGCAATCCTTGGAAGATCGGGAAGCGAAGGAGCTGACACGGGACCCCCCTTCTGCTCTCTACCACTCAATGAATGAATCTAGCGCTCCAAGAGATGTAAATTAACCGCAACTTACCTATAATATGATGTCTTAATGGGTGGTTATACTAACCATCCAACCGCTACCCTGTCCACACAGATGAACGGCCAGCCGTCCCGGTTGGGCGTGTTTGGTCACTTGCAGAGGCTAAAAGTTTATATGAATGGCGTGGTCTGTCCAGATATGTCGTCAGATAAGATTGTACATCTTTAGCACCTCTGTTCATTGTTTAATATGCGTTACTATTTAAGAAGCTCGCAGTTCCACTCAGAGGGAGTGGATGCGTCATCTCGTTAGAACTCGATGGCACAGTAGCACGGTCCCCAAGTAGCAATTATGAGGAATTTTTTGCTTCCGGGTTGCGTCAGTCACACACTGCCCTTGTAATGTAGCCACAGGATTTTGCGACACTTAGCAGTGTTTCCTGTGCATAACACAGGTTGTTGCTATCGGATATCGAAGTACGTAACTTGCCTCGTCCAGTTGGTTGTGGACAGTTGTGTCGCACCAACGCAGGCGAATTCGATATGGCGATCGGGGAGCACATGCACGGCCGAATGGACATACGTAGCATGAGGCAATGATAGAGCAATAGTATGCGTTGACACCTGGCCTGACCACTGAAATATGCAGGCCTGGTCGCAGTGAGCATGGAGTGATCGTTGGCCAGGCAACGGAACGCCGCCGATTGTGCATTGTTTAACAGCCAGCTTATGATCATTGTGGAATGTCAGATACGATCCGTAAAGTATGGGAACTTTCTCATCATATGAATGACAGCACTGCTCAAGAGATACTTGTGATTCGCTACCTGCATTAGAACAAAGCGCGGGGTTGCGGTGCCCCTAGTGTGAACTGAACCCATAGCAGTACGGGGTGCGATAAAGTTGTACAAGGCCAGAATTGGACGTGAGGTAGTCAAGAGATGAAACGCTGCTTTGCGGCGGTCCTTACAAATACGAAAGCCGAGATGCCCGAGTGATCGGTTGTGTCAAACTTTTGCGTGATTCCATCCCACCGTCGTTAGGCTCTTTAGTTCACGAACGTTTGCTTTCATACCCTGTTCGGTTTCATCGCTGTCTGTCACATCAATAACGAATTGACTATGGCCTGCGAGAAATTTTTGCATTTTATGGTTGTAGCCATGCTTCTGCATTATAACGACACCTAATCCCATATCTTGTCTCAGTATACCAACTTTTTTAATTACGTAGCTATAACGTTCCTTCGTCATGGTACGTCACTTCTCAGTGTCACTAGCGCATGACTGTTTGTTAAGGTCTACCCTCCTAGTTGAAAAGCAGCCGTATGTCTCCTACTTGGTCTGTGTTTAACTGGGGACATGTTCGTTCAAATGTGCAAACTTAGCCTCAACTGCTATTCTACCACATGGATTTGGGGGAATAGAGAAACTAAACCGTAGGGACGAGTTTCAACTTGGAGGCGACCTACGCTAGAACGGATATCCCGAGTTATTTATAACACGACACGCGCACGCAAAACCATAGAAGAAACCACCAACTGATGTTCCAAAGAAAAAGAGAGCATTAGCTAGTGCACGAATTCAGTCGATAAATCATTGCATGATACATATATTTAAAGATTATCAGTGTACTGCTCAGATTTGTCAGCGAACTTCGAAGTTCCCGCCGGCGTTTTGCGTACAGCGCAGCATTCGCCTGGTGGTGTTATCTAGCACTTTTTTCAAAAGTACCAACTGTGATCCCGCGACATTTGTGCGAAATGCTGTGCTTCAATTCCTCAAGAGTTTGGCTTCCTTTTGTAAATCCACCCTTTTTAAGTAACCCAGAGGAAGAAATCCAATGGGTTCAAATTTGGTGACCGAGGAGGCCACTCTATAGGTCGTTCCCGCCCGATCCAACAGCAAGGGAACGTCTGCTTGAGGAAATCCCGCACCGTTTGTGCATAGTGTGCAGATGCACCATGTTGTTGCAACCAAACGGTACTCAATAACCCAGCGTATTCCAGTTACGGAATGACGCAATTTTTCAGTAATTTTTTGCGTGAGAATGCTAGAAAG